TATTATTATTATTATTATTAATAAAACATTTATAAAAATAATTGGCCTTTGATATATCTCTAGGGATAAGATTTATCCTATACCTATTGATATTCATGTGAAGGAAAAGAGCAATCAATTATAATATTTTGTATCTTTAAATCTGTGTTTATAAAAAAAATAGAATTAAGTATAATTTAATTCGTAATTAATCAATATTCACACTTTGTGGCCATATCTCGACATGCAAATCGTATTGTTATTAATGGTGGTTATATTCCGTTGGGAAAATGTCATAACTCATATATGGAGGACATAATATGCGTGGAGGAATTTCTCTTTGGAAATTCAGAGCATGAGTTGAAAACCCGTTTAATTACTAAAATTTCTATAAGCAACCTCTTTGCCGACATATGAGAAGTTATTTTGGATTATTGTTTTCATTCTAAATCTAGATTTTATGCAGAGGACAGTCTAAGATTTTAACAGATTCTGTTTAATAATTAAAACCACAAATGAATTAGTAGTGTCTGAATATCGTATGACAAATTGTTTAAAGCAATTGATAGGTACGCTGGTTTTATAAAGTTTATTTCCTAAACATTTTCCTCATCACAAACATATTTCATATCGATGAAATAATCGAAAATATTATTACATATATTTTTTATCAGAGGTATCGTAAATTACCATTATTTCGAAAATCGTAACTCCTAGTAAAAATTGACTGTTTTATTTGTCGATATAATATTAACATATTTCGAAAAATTGTACAAAGCGATTCAAAAACAAGCATATACAATTTTTTTATTTATGAAAATGATAATATACTATTCTGAAAAGCCTGATATTGCTCAGATTCTGCAATTACATACCATTTTTTATGTAAATACTACTTGATAATATACAGTTATTATCACACAAAGCACTTAAAATTATTTTGCGCACTGCCATAGCCACATTAATTACATGTTCCTTTGGAAATTATCCCGGATATCCTATCAAGGTCCCGTTGCACCGTTAATTTATACCATATACATGGGAGATCCTACCAAGGAACTGCACTTCTATTAATGAATACACAATACGAGTTAACGGACTTGTTATCACGTCCAGATGCTTCAAAATTGCAATAAGTTTATTAATGCGACGAATTGGCCAACTGTGGCAAATTTCAAGACATGTAGCGGAATGTTAACGGCGTACTCCGTTGAACAGTAATTATTTTTACCAAATAGTTAATTATTTCCTGTCACATCGTATAGTTAGAGACATCCATAAGCGTTTTTTATAATTAATCTTTCATTGATTTTAGTTGTTAAATCATTAACATTTCATGTTTGATTTAGCACAGAATAAATGCAATAAAACGTTTTATGCATAATCACATCACAATCATATTTGTGGAGTCAGAATTATTGGAATTTAATAAAAAAATATTCTAGTACTCAATGAAACGTGGTAGGTTTTGTTATACCTACTACTGGTTGCTATGTTACGATGTTTATTATCAATTACATATTTAATAGTTATATCTGAATTTGGTAAAAATGCAAGAAAGTAATTGTCAAGTTGTGTTGACGAGTCTATATCTAACAAACTTGATATTGCAAGGAAAATCCAAGGCAAATTTATTTTTTAATTCTTCACAAACTTCGGCAAATGTTATACGTTCCGAAGATGATGGCAACAATGCCACAAGGGTTATTATTAACGGAAAGGAAGTTAAATGTGATAAAACAAAAAACGAAATGTCTATTATTATAAATGTTAATGTTAATGTTAATAAGTAAATACATTAAATTTGATTTATTATAGGTTTGTTATTTTTTCATTATTCTACTAGTAAAATAAAGTTACTTTATTCCATTAGTGGATAAAGTATAGTCATTATAGAAGATGCAACTAAATTTTTATTGGCATTTCTATTTGTAAATAGAGGGAAAATAGTAAATGGTTTCTTTAGTAACTTAACAGAATTGCTAACATTTGTTTTACTTCCAATGTACTGGTGTAAGTATATAAAATATTGTCCATAATATAACTTAATTGTTGCCTCTCATGAATAAGATTAGAAAGAGGTCTATACTCGTATAGTCTCTATCTGGAAAGAAAATGCAAAAATATAGTTTAAATATAATACGGAGAAAATATCCACAGGTTTTTCCATCTGTATAGAATCAACCAAACACGGAGGGAATATTGTCATAAAACTTCGTTTATGTGCTAAAGCTTTTAGAAACTCCGAGCATATATCAATTTATTAAGGCAAGAAGAAGAAGAAGTGCAGTTATATTTCAACGAAAGTTTTACTCTCTAAACCAAACACGTGTATAAAATAATTCCCGTCAAAGCGGTTACTTGGCATTTGCTGAAAGAGTACCTGACACAGCTTCCATAACACAAGTTAAAGGCCCTTAAATGTTTGTCCATAGTATAACTCTTGTAGCGTTAATATGATTTTAATTTAATCCTCCAAAAATATATCTGTATTAGCTTTATTCATAAATTCCAAGTCTCGGTATGCAGAATATATCTAACTTACACATAAATATTGAGACTATTAATTGTAAACTTTTAAGGAAATGCGAAATAGTTTACCAAAAGTGTCTTGATATTGAACAGAATTGTTTAAGGAGACAATATACAGGGTCGGAAAGTCCCCATGGTTCATCGGCCGTTACGTGGGAGCGATAAAGTAAGTCATAGAAATCCGTGCGATAGAGAAAGATGGCTATAATGAAGGCGTCTAATAGTCACCGCCCATTTCGCCCTTCCACAAATAAGAAGTGGATCTTATATTATATTAATTACATTGATTTTATTACAAATCGATGAGTGTGCACCCACCTTTTGAGGCATATAAAACAAACTATAATTTAAATTTTAACGCTCTTCATATTATATACATCATATTTCCGAGTTTTTAGTTTGAAAATCCGTAAACATTTTTTCCACATTTTACTTCTACTAACAAGAGAAATGGACTAGGGCAAAACAAGAAACAATTTCCATATTAAACATATTTAATATGACCGTATACGTTTTTGTACCATTATTTGATATACCTGTATATACATAGTTTACCATCAAACATTCTGCTGTGATATGCAAAATTTATGCCCCTCTAAAAGTTTAAGACGTAAATTTTATCATAAGCCACGTATTTTGTTGTTTCGCGCAATTTAAAACCAGTTGTACGAATACTCGAAATGAGCTTGGAATGGCCCAATCCGTCTTGTCCTTTTTTCCACCGACGTCTTCTTCCACTGAGAAATTGTATAATATTTCTTATTACACTCCAGAAGTTCTGATTTTTAAATTGAAAGTAAACTTGCTATTTATCAGCTAATCCAATTCGAATCACGCATAAAGCGTATATTTTATACAATCTGACATGGGAAGCGTGTTCAGAAACTGTTATTGATAAAATGTTCTTTATTTTGTTGTGCGGGCTAATTTAATGGAAATAATATGTATCAAATTGAGATTGCTTCGGATCTATTGCGGGTCACAGAAAATAAGTTATTGAATTGGTGATATTAGTCTCCTAGTCCCGCATATTCTAGCTAAACCACGTACCCTATATGGCTTTTCAAATATATACTGTTTTATTCAGGTGCGATATATGGGTTTTTTATGTTAATCAAAACTGTACCTAAATCAATTGTATTTTTATAAACTTTATCAGTTAATTTAATTTCAGTGGGACATTTCTTTTAGAAAGCAAAGGTTGCAAAGAAGCAAACCTGTTTTAAAAACTAAAATAAAACTGTATTTAACCTATTAAATTCTTAATAATTGACAAACGTCATCTCTCTAATTGCACCAACACTCTTTAGTTCGAAAACCAAGCGATTGCGGACACATCTTATTTTATAACACTTTTTAAACAAAAAAATATAGTACAGCTAAATAAATTGAAAATGTAAAAAGCAGAAAAAATGTATTCTCAAAATATTAATAACTATTTTAAACAGTTTTATTATTTCTTTGTAAGAACAAAAAGAAGCCGCAATTAGTGAGTAACCAATAATTTTAAAAGCAATTTTATGTGTTGATAACACACACAGCTATTTCGATAAGAACAAGTAATCATTAGTTTCTCTCAACATTTATAATTTTATGGAGAAATCTTTATTACCCTAGTTAATCTAGCTTTTCATTTTAGAAGGTTGAAATACAACCAAGTTTGAGTAATCGTTCCACTGAGAGAAAAGTTTGCCCATAATGTTGGTAAAATCATGATTATAATTTATTATACAGTTCTGTTGTAGCAGAACACCAAACCTTCAGGAAATACGTAAAATGTATTAAATTGAAAACAGAATGTTTCTTGTAAAATGAGAAGATTATTTTAATTTACGCCAATATACAATATATTATAAATAACCGAATATTCTGTCAACAGTTTGATCTGTTGTATCGAAAATATTATATTATACCTATTTATTTTTTGTAGGGTCGTATTTCTCCTACACACAGAATGGCATACATAACTTTCCCTAATTTGTTCACCCTCATTTAGGTAATGGCGAATATGCGTCACTAGCACCACCTCACTTTAAAATAAAACCGTTCCTTCTTATATTCACGAGATTCTTATCTTCAAAACGGTTATTAACAGGGGAAAAATGTACATAAATTAAAACTTTTCGCTCAATTCGCTACCTCATTATTTTTTTATCAGATCCATCTTGTCCGCACCAACTTAAGGAGTTTGCGGAGGAATGTGAAATACTTGCTGCGGCAAGATTACCCTTGCGTACCATTAACATTAGCTCTACCAGTAAGACATAGTAGAAATGAAGAAGCTGATAGCGACATTTATAGAATAGATAAATAAACATAATCGACCTTCGTTACTTTCGTTATATTCATCTCCTGTTGTGGAAGAGAAACGAAATGCACGTGTCGATTTTCTGTTTTCTATCCATTATCCAGCTGCCCTTGAACAGTGTCGAAATCTGTCAAATCCGTCAAACCACTTCAGTTATCCGGTCGATATAATTAATTGGGAAATGGCCTCATCAATCCCAAAGGTTGCCACAAAGGTGAAACGAGTGTTCCCTCTATTCAATCGAGTGCTAATTAAAAGAGATGACCCGGCCACGCAAAGCAAGGGTGGAATCGTGCTGCCTGAAAATCAGAAAACCAGGGTGTTAAGGGGTACGGTTGTAGCAGTCGGACCAGGGCAAAGGAACGATAACGGCCAGAAAATACCGATGACTGTGAAACCAGGGGATTATGTAATTCTTCCAGATTATGGAGGCGCCAGAATTGAAATGGACGGGGAACATTATTTTATGTTTAGGGAAAACGACATTTTGGCTAAACTTCAGGAGTCCTAATTGCCCGCGGTGCGGTTCCATTTAATTAATGTAATTTTTATATGTTTTTATATGACGCATACATGTAAAAGGTACGATATTTTTGGTTGTCAATATAAAATGTAAAAGGATAAATGTTTATTAGATCGCCTTGTTACTTATTGGATTATTATACTTTTAAACCCAAAAACCTTTATGAATATTTACATGATCTAAAGATGTAGAAGATTTTTTTGAAATATAAGACGTCCAAATTTATAAGAAATAAGGTAAGTTGCCAAAATATAGATACCATATAGAAAATTAATCAGTACTTACTATTTTTAATGCTGCAAACATTCCAAAATACTTGGTGAGAAATGTTCTGTAACTGTTTGTAATTTTTCTTGTATTTTTAAGGTGTTAGGGTCTCTAAATAATTTGCTGTTTCTTGTTATAAATCTTAATTTCTTAGAAGCTACCTTGACAATATAATCAATGTGTTCTGAAAAGCTTAAAGTATTGTTAACTAACCCCCACATCTTCAGCAGAACTGTGTGGACTAAATGTTTGTGAATCGTCCATGACTGGATTTACACGTGTATGTGTTTGTTGTTAACAGACCAAGCTATAAGTGTGTTAACTCCTTTTTGAAGATTATAGGCCTGGCTGATTGAAGGGATGGATGTGTAGATTTCGGCGTCATCAGCATACAAACACTTTTCACAATTTTACATATTTTTAAGGTCGTTAATAAACAGGAGAAAGAGTAGGGGGCCCAAGTTCGAACCCTGAGGAACCCTCTGTGTAGCTGTATATGTCTTGGACTTGTCATCGTTAAATAGTAACATATTGAGTTCTATTATAAAGATATGAACGAAAGAAAGTAGTAGCAAAATCGCATGATGTATCTTTTCGAAAGTCGCATGCATCAAAAGTACATATGGACCTACCTGACAAATTTTGGAATCATATTTCTATTTCAAAACATGGTAAATATTCTCCGTTCAATTTGAAATTCAATATTCATTATTCAATAAATATCTATAGATGAACATTTTGATGTACCTACCTATAAAATGCTGATAAATAGGTATGCCAATAGACATTTAACGAAAATAATTGTACTTTCTTGAAATACTGATGTATTTTCATTGATACCGACTGTATATATTTTCTTGTAAAACTGAATCCAACAATATGTCGGAAGATGTCTGATAATGTTTACAGTTGCACTGTGTTAAGAGATGCTTTGTAACTGAATTAAAGATAATTTAATACACACAATTATAATCCAATTCAGCCAATTCGGAATGTTGCGTTGTCATTGGATTAAATTGATACTAATGTAATCGCTGATAACATTAAACGCATAAACAGAAGACAAATATGTTTAAAATGGTTCTGAATTAGTGACATCAAAGGATAAACAAAGCTGAACTATGATTCACATTAAAGAATATTAAAAAATATATATATTTTACTAAATTACTGCCATAGTTATGATATATGAAAATTTTTGACATTTTTGAAAGCTGAAAAATTGATGTCAAGTTTCCATTGCCAGCATATGGCACTTTTTTCGTCATTTTGAAATTATTGGTCATCATTCTGACACTGATTACGTAGTTAATAGTTCCTTTTTATTACATTCTATGCAAAATTAACTGATTGAACGTGACCTATTAAAAAAATCTTCAATAAAAGTATTTCTACTCTACGAAATGTAACGCCTATGCTGGTCCTGCGAAGAAAAATCGACTTTGGCCCACAGATAGCAAAATCCACATGATTTAATTCATTAAGTGGTTGAAAACGAGACCATAAATTGTTTCTAGAGAAGGGTATATATGCGAGATGGATCTAAATGGAGCCGCTTCTGTGGGGCTCACGATGCCTTTAAAACGCCTGGAAATGCTGAAGCGGGCGAATTTTTGGGTGGTTTGCGTAGAAAGATACTTTTGCGGGATATTGAGGAGTTTTTATGCCACTCGAATATACAACGAGGTTTGCTATCTCGCGTGATTTGCTCACTACTTTACATTTCAGTCCGATATTATTTCTGCCGCCGACATCGACTTTCCGCATTTCATTTAATTTATAATTTAAAAGGGTTTTTACTATAAAATATGTAGAAGAAGGGCTTACAGTGATAAAAATGTTATCAAATAAATTTGAACAGTAGGTATATATTCTGTGATTGTGTCCGAAGAACAACATTTTTTTATTTGTAAATTGATAAAATGTTTATACAATTTCCTGATTGTTCATAATCAATAGAAAAAAAAATTGTTGATACAGGTTGTCCACTTTTTATAAAAATGTTTAAGCCATATAAGCATTGTTAGTGTTGCCGTTACTACTTTTAGAGATATTTGCAATTTTCTATTTTTTGGACAGTTTTTGGACATGACCAAAAACATTCCAAAAACAACTGACAATTCGAAATAAACATCATTACTTACTGCTATTATTTTAATCGTTAGAATCACATCCCGGAGTCTTCTGACGGACTTTCAGAACACCCTGTATATATTTATTTGTATTTTCTTTCAGAGTTTAATTCACAGTTAAATTCCTTTGCATATATTGGCAGGCTTAGGATATAACGCTTGGGTTCATAGGAGCCCCGGAGCTTGTTAACAAGCAATTTTAATTTAAAACAAGCAACAAAATGGCAAGCGTGCCCTCGGCGTTCTATGGAGGTCTCATCAGGATTAGCTTAAACAAAAATAACAGGAGAGAGATACCAAAGGCAAATTATGAGGTCGAGTTCTTTAGCTCAGTTAGGAATTTCGAATACGCCTTCAACTTCAAACACAACACCTTTCTAGATTCTTAGAATTCTCTCTTTACTTTATGCTATTGAGCTGGACTGAAAGAAGCTTAATAGACATGATATACAGTGTGACCCAAAATATTAACTATACCTATGTTTAACTTATCAAAAGCAGCTACTTTTGTCTATTTTTTGGAGATCTCAGTTTTTAGTATAATATACTTTTTTAATTTAAAATTTCTACTACTCGCTTCTAGAGCATACATCGAAAAGCTTAGTCGATTGAATAATAAACCAAAAGACGCGGAATTAGTTCGGTTACTACTGAAAAATTTGTAAAATTTGTTATACAGTTAAGAAAAAAATGATCAATAATAAAAATTGACAAACTGTTTACCCAAAAAACGGATAAACGTTGTTGCTTCGGTAACGTCACACCTATTTTACTAAATAAAGTTACAAAAATGTCAAAACCTCCTCCTTTACTGTCAAGGCATAATCGTACACAAATTTTCTTTTATTATTATTAGGATTTCCTGATTGTTGTGATTATTCTGGCAGCTTTCCTTATTTTTCCTCATATTTTCTCAACTATGGATAGGAATACACCAGCTATCAAAGAGCCCCATAAATAAAAGTCGCATGGATTGAAATCTGGCGATCGAGTGGGTCAAGTAACTGGACCATTTCTACCCATCCATCATCCAGAAAACTGCTTAATTAATACTCCAATAATTCGGACACTATGTTTCGACAAACTTCCAAAGAAACGTCATCCAGTAACATATTACTTAAAGATTATAAATGCCTTCGACTATCTAACCGATTTGATTAACGTAAGGTCCAATTCCGGTTCAAGATTTACTGAAAATCTTTTCAAAACTGCTGAATTTGTACATAGTATAAGTGTAATTGTTATTCTTTTAAGATCCTCCAATCTCAACTTTTTGGTATATTCTGCTGTAAAGCCCATAAGAGACTCAGAATTATTTGCAGCATTCTCCTAAGGTGCATTTTCAATGATCAATGATAATTCATGATCCCGAAGCTCATGTATACGCATGATGCACCAATTTTGTATGAGACGATTCAGAAATTGATCCATTTAGATCCTGCAAGCTTTAGAAGAGGTTCCATGGGTTTCATATCCTAACATTATATCAACGTATTCACTATTTGTAAAACACGATATGATGCACAATCACGACTGTTAATATCTCGTCGTATTGCTTATACTTGGGAAAAACTTTAGGAAAAACTAAGATAGTGAATCATTGGAATCATTGGATAAGATATTAAAGTACGTTATTTAGATGTTTTTCTAACCCACAGACGACCCGGTAATATTATTTTAATGACTATAAAACAAAAATTAGTAACCAAAGTAAATTATTAATTACTTTGGTTATTTCTAAGTGTAAAGAATGACATATCTAGACAAGTTTTAGAGTTATATAAGGGAAATTATATATTTTTGCCATCCTTAATATAATCTATATAGCTTCTAAACAATTAGAAATTTATGTAGAGGTATTTGGAGCACCTTATACTTCCGAAAAAAAAAGACGTATGAATTTGTTTCTTTAAATGGGCATCCAATACTGCTTAAATTTTATTTTTTTAAGTAAATCCTAAGTTTAGAAATAATTCCTATACTGTTAAAGAATCCAGTGGAGCTGGAAAGAATTAAATATTTTCGTGACGGTTTCTGTTACAATTATTGATTAGTTTTGCCGCAGTTTATCGTGAATAAATGTTATACACTATTGAAACAATGTTCATTAAATTTCAGTGAATTGTTCGCAGAGATTTAACATTTTTCATTTTATGTTGTCGATGATCTATGAAGGTTAAACGATTCAATAATACAATACGGATAAAAAAGTATGTATTAATGTATACTTCGATAAAATTTTAACGTAAAATTAAATTTCCATCAATGGCTAGAAGTTAACACATAGCTGCAATGTCTGAACCATTTCGTTTTTACATTGTTTTTATTTCCACTTTAACTGCAGTTAGATCGATAGTTACAGTAATTCCTACTTTAGTTCTGCAGTTTTTGTGGAGTTTTCGTAAGAAAACGCTATAAACGTGTACTGGAATTCTAGCACGATGTAAAAATAAGCGATGTTACCACGAAGTAACAGTTGCCTTCACGTATTACTTAGAGAACAAACAGTAGGCATAATTTGGAAAATTTAATCTCATCTTTCTTATGAGTGAATAATAAAAAATATTATTAGCTACTCTCCTTAAAAAA